GGCCAGTTCAGCAAAATTCAACCATGGCATAACAAATTTACTGAGTTCTTAAAAACCTAGGGCAAGGGGCCAGCACTGTGTCATAGTGGGTGAGGCCACTGCTTGCGATGCCAGCATCCCATATGGTTCGAGTCCCGGCTGCTCCAATTTGATCCAGCTCTCGGCTATGGCCTGGGAAAGCAGAAGAAGATGGCCCAAGTGCTTGGGCCCCTGCACCCATGTGGGAGATCCAGAGAAGCTCCTGGCTTCAGATCAGCCCAGCTCTAGCCATCTGGGGAGTGAACCAGTGGACGGAAGACCTCTCTTTTGTTCTGCCTCTGCCTCTCTACAAATCTACCTTTCAGAAATATAAATAAATCTTTAAAAAACAAAACAGGCCAGGTATTTGACATAGAAGACCCTGCCCAGGAGAGGGGTGCCTGTATCCCACACTGGAATGCCTGGGTTTGAATCCCAGTTCTGCTCCCAATCCAGCTGCCCACTAATACACACCTGGAAGACAGCAGGTGCAGGTTCAGTGGTTCCTGCCACCTGTGTGGGAGACCTGGTTTGAGCTCTGGGGGCTCCAGCCTGGTCTAGTCTGGCTGTCGTGGGCATTTGGGGAGCAAACCAGTGGATAGGAGGTAAAATCAAAAATAAAAAAAAGTAATTTAAAAAATGTACATAAAAAACCCCACCAAATTTAAACTCTTTTAGTCTACAGCGATTTGCCTGGGAGGCCTGGCAGCTGCCATGGAGGGCGAGGGCTCCACAGTGTCTGAGCCTCCACATTCTCCCTGCCTGTAACCCCCACCTCTGCCTTTCTGCCCCTTCTTTCTCTGACTTAACCTCTTGTTTCTTTTTCTGCCCATGATCCCCATCACCATCCCTTCCTCCTGGCCTTCCTGCCTGTCTAGTTCCTTGACATGCAGGGCCCTGTCTCCTCTGACTCTCTCTCTGGGTCAGGCCCCAGGGCTGCTGGGTATGGCTGTGCAGGTTGCCCACTGCACAAAAACACCCTGTTGGCTCTGCTTGCCAACAGCCCTCTGGACGTACGCCCATCTCCATTGTGAACAGAGGCCTGTGGGGACCTCAGCAGTAGCCGAGCCTGTGTCCTGCCTGGATTCCTCCCCACCTCTCCTGAAGCAGAGCACTTCCCTCTCTCGGCATTTGTTCCCCAAGGCTTGGGCGGCAGGGAGCCCGGGAAGAGAAACACCCAATGTCCTGAAAATGCCATTGTGAAGTCAAAATGGAAACTGGTAAAGCAGCCAAAGCTATTGAAACCTCTCCATTTAATATGATTTGCTGTGCACTTCAGGACTTTTTTTTTTAAGGTCTGTTTGGGGTCAATCAGAAAATGTGCTAAGTTGATAAATTCAGCAGCTGGATGTGTTGATGTCACTGAATCTGATCCAGCTCCCTGCTAAAGGCCTGGGAAAGGGCAGAAGATGGCCCAAGTGCTCGGCTCCTGCACCCATGTGGGAGACGTGGACAGAGTGTCAGGTTCCTGGCTTTGGCCTGGCCCAGCCGCGGCCATTGCGGCCATTTGGGGAGTGAACAGTGGATGGAAGATAATGATATTTTTCTTTAGCTCTTATTTTCAAATAAGTAAAAATTTAAAAACAGTATGAGCAGAATCAACTTTTGGAGTCAAACACAGACTCCAAGATTAAATTAAACATTTTTAATAGGGAATAAGGAAACAGGTCACAGTGGCATGCTGACACATTAGTCTCTTACCGTCCAAAGTGACAACTGTATTTTTCATGGGCAAAGGCAGACACTGAACCCAAAATTTCAGGGCCTGAAGAAGGGGCTCATTCTGTCCTGGCCAGTACATATTTCCCTCTGAAATGCAGTAAGCATTACTGAGTCACTGGGCAGGCTCCAGCCAAGAGCCAGCTGCCCCTATGAGGAGCCACGCACCAGAAAAACGCAAGGACGTCGGGTGAGTGTAGGGAGCTGGGGAATCACCCGGAAACCTCGTGCCTGGTTCCGGGAACCACCCACCGGAATGGGCACAGTGCATGCTGCTCAGGAGTGCTTCCGTGGCCCCTGCTTGTGACTATCCTGCCATCCCATTTCAAAAAAAAAATTCAAAACATGAGCACAAAGCACCTCTGAACAGCTTCAAAACTGGGGTCAGCTGAGAAAGGAGACTTGCTCACCCAGGGTGGTGCCTCCCTCACTGTCAGCTGCCGGCTAGGAGTTAGCTGACTCACGTGTTTATCACCCATGATTGTGTCCTGGGCCCTGGGGGTGAGGTTCCCAGTGAAGATTAGCAACGGCTGCACAGAGTGCGGGTGAGGATAAGTGGCATCTAAGGGTGCGTATTCATTCTAGTGGTGCTAAGGTCCCATCTGGAAAAATCTCCCTTGACTTTGTGTCTTTGAACAACAGCTCCTCCAGCCAAGGTGATGGTGCAGCTCAGTGAATCAGTATAAAAGGGTAAGGAGCTGCAAACTCAAAGGCTTTTCCTGGTGAAGAAACCATTGTCTGTCTCAGCAAGCAGTGAGGAACCCGTCTGTGGAGGCCCCAGGGCCAATACCTGTCCCTGCTCTCAGGGAACAGCACACTTCAGAGTCCAGAGACCTGGAGGATGACCCCTGAAGGCTGGGTTCTAGCTGGTCCCAGGAGAGCACTTCAGAAACTTCACGGTGACTGTAATTAAAAGGTGAGTTTGTTTGGGTGCAAAAAAAATTCCAAAATTTATGCATGGTTTCTCATCACCAATATTTTTCCATGAACTTGTTAAAGACTATTCCATAAGCATGGATTTCCAAAATTGTTTTGCACCAAAACAAACATCTTTTAATTCCATTTCTGGAGCACACTTGTTTTATTGCTCCTTGAACAGTCACTTGGGCTGAGTCATTTGCTTTTCTGAAAACTTGCAAGTTTTGACCAGCTCCTCTCCAAGGGCCTTTTTTTTTTTTTTTTTTTTTTTTTTGTCAGGCAGAGTGGACAGTGAGAGAGAGAGACAGAGAGAAAGGTCTTCCTTTGCTGTTGATTCACCCCTCAATGGCCGCTGCGGCCGGCGCACTGCGCTGATCCGAAGCCAGGAGCCAGGTGCCCCTCCTGGTCTCCCATGGGGTGCAGGGCCCAAGCACTTGGGCCATCCTCAACTGCACTCCCTGGCCACAGCAGAGAGCTGGCTGGAAGAGGGGCAACCGGGACAGAATCAGGCGCCCTGACCGGGACTAGAACCGGGGTGCTGGCGCCACAGGCGAGGATTAGTCTATTGAGCTGCAGCACCAGCCCCCAAGGGCCTTTTCTAAGGTTTAAATTTGCCCTGAGATATTTGCAGATACAGATACTTGTTCTAATCCTAAATCTAAAAACCAACTCAACCCTCTTCCAAGGACAGCTCAGCGTTTCTCCAGACCCTAAGCAGTTATTTCAAAATAAACTTGTTGCACATTTTTTTTTTTTTTTTTTGAGGCACAAGTGACTTCCCATGAACTAGAGGTAAGAAGGAAGACCCTGCACCCATGCAGGCTGGTGAAACATGTCTTGAGCTGGCAGGGAAAGTTTAAAGAGAGTGCAGGAAGATGGAGCAGGAGAGACTCCCAGCAGCACAACCAGCAACAGCTGGGAGCTGTATGCGCAGATGAGATCCAAGTCACAGAGCCTGGCCGCTAGCTTGCTCCCCTTTCGACTTCCAGGCACTTAACACAGGCTCCAGAGGCTGAGGTCTGTGCCTGGAATAGAACCCTCTGTTTCGTTCCTAAAATACTCCTTTACGCTGTGTCAATGCTGCCCCGTGTTTTGCTCATACTTTAGGGAACTATGGAAAAAACTTGCACATTGCAGAGGAAAGTTCAGGCCAACAGGGGTGCGGGGTCATCTGGGGTCACTGTCAGAAATTCCTCTCCAGCTCACAAGGGAGAGGCGACTGGAGGGGGCGCTGGGCTGGTGGGGACAGGGCGGCAGAGTTCACAAGGTCACACAGTGATGGGGTGCCCTGGGCAGGCCTCTGTTTCCTGTTGCCCATGTTACAATCTACTCCGGTGGTGGAGCAATGGATCAACTAGGAAGCTGTAGGCTTTGGGAAAGAAAAAAAAGTTCATCCAATGACCTATGCAGGGCTTGATTTTAAAAACCACTAACAGGACTCGCCAAGCTAATGCTCTTGGGATAATGACAAGGACCACAGTTATCACGTTCGTGCTATCAGCATGACCCACGCCTTCCGAGTCACATATGTAGACCACTGCATTGCACAGTGCATCTACGCATGGAAACACTCAACAGGACTCCCTAGGAAACAGCAGGCTCCATTCCAAAGCCCCGTTCTTCCCTGTACCACTTCTCAGCTGCAGCTTTACAACCCAAAGGGCGCAGTCGGGGTGGGGTTTCCTGCCACCCGTGAGAACCCTTCTCAACAACCTTGAGCTGAACGGCTCGGCCCTCGGGTTCTGAAGCAAGCACACGCACTTTGAACATTCCCTTACACGTGCGGTTCCCGCGGGAGTCTGATAGAGGCAGGATGCCTCGTGCTGTTTTTAAAGGTGTACACGGAGAGGCTGACAGACTCTGTGATGGCGTCATGTCACCCACGCCGTTGGCGCTGTATTCTTGGGGGACGGCCGGGGCTTGGGGTCCGAGAGGTGCTCTATGAGTATGTGTTGCATAGCGGCCAGAGAAGCAGGACGTGTCATTGTAACGTCACTGGAAAGGAATGTTTACTAGGGAAACTGAAATAACGCCAGTTACACTTGGGAAAAGGACGGAGATGGTTGTAAAGCTGACTCTGGCTGTTTAACACACGGGCTGCACATTTTTTAAGCAAGACAAAGAATATGGTCCCAAGGAATTTCAGAAGCCCATTCCGGAGCCTGAGAGCCAACGGCCTCCTTGATTAAGGGTGGTTCCCAAGCTGGGAGGAAAACGTTTTGAAGAGGCGGCTGCCTAACCGGGCATCATGTGATAGAACACCAGATGTCTCTCTAGACAATGGAGATCTCATTCATGAAAACAGCAGGTGAAGGGGAGACCAGGAGCGAGCTCCCTGTCCTTACCGTCAGAGACAAGGCCATGCACACGAACGTGAACTTCTTGATGTGGGTCGCGGTGACCGTGTTGCTCGTGTTGGCGAGTTTATTGCTCGGGTTGTTCTGGGGAAGAGAAGAGCGGTGATGAGGACTGGGCTCTGGCTTGACCTGGGCCGAACCCCTGCCCTGTCGCCGACGGCAAAGAGCGTCTAGTCTCGTTTCCTCTGCTGCGCCTGACGTGTGGATTTCAAGTGACAGCCTGGGAGTCGGCTGGCATGCTGAGTCTCGCTCAGGCAGCTGTCAGGTTCCTGCACTTGAACGTCAACCAGAGTGCATTCTGGACCGAGTCAGGCCCCCCCACTTGGCGCTGCACCAGCCACCTGGCCCAACCCCAGGCCCTGCATGCTCCAGCCCTGGCCCCAGCACACTTGACATACATGGCCCTGTAGGGAGACTTCCCGGCTCTCCTCCCTACCAGACGGGGTCCCGTCCCATGAGGCCTTCCAGGCCTGCTCTCCCTGGCCCAGGCTCACCTTCCTACCCTAATTTCCCCACCTGCAGCCAGCCACACGGGGCTTCCTGCCCTGCCCCTTGAGCTCCTGTGTTTTGTTTCTGCCTTTCCCAGTGGACCTACGGATTTTCAGCAACCCCCACCTGTCTTCACAGCCCCTCTCATCCTGCAGCCTCTCTGACCTTTGACCTCCAGGCTGTCTCTGGGCCCCATTTTCGGTCCTGTGTGTTCAAGCTCCCTGCGAGGCTGTGGTGCTGGGAGGTAGAGGGCCGCGGCACACCCGGCACACGGAGCAGAGCCGCCAGCACTGCAAGCGGCTGACTTCCTCCCAGCCCCGCTGCCAGGCACACGCCTCACCCCCCACCATGACGACCATCGGGGGAAAAAGAACCTGTGCCTCATTCTGGGTCCAATTAAGCCCAGGCCTGAGGGAAAAACAAGTCCTGACACCTGGCTCCCCCTGCAGCATAACACCTGTACAGCTAGCAGGGGACCCACCCGGAGCGAGCTCTGGGCCCTGCCTCAACCTCGGAGGCCAAGGGAATCTTGCAAACCCTTCCCCTTGTGGCTGCCCCCGGCCCAGGCCCCTTGGGGATCACACGTTTTTACTAATTCCAGCCTCTACAACCCACCTGCTTTTCTGAATAACTGGGTGCCACTGCGGCCAGCAGCATGTAGGGGAGCCGCGCCTGTCCTTGTCCCCAAGCTCTGCAAGAGTAGGGCCCTGGGGCACAGAGGGAGGAGGCCGCGCTGGGGGGAGTCAGGCCACCTCCCCACAGCACCCACATGGAAGGCAGGGGGCTGGGGCTCCTTCCTCCAGGCCCACTTTCATTTGTCACACAGCCAAGGTGACTGCAAACGTCATGGACACAAATGATCAGCCGCCATTAGAGCAGCACCGTGTTTCATTCTCTTTGCCTCCTCTGCTCAGAAACTCCACTTGCAGATAGCCCAGCATCAGAGAGAACCTGCACTAGTGGGGGCCACTCCGTTCCTGTGCAGCTAAACCCCCTGGGCAACACTGAGAGACTCGGTCTCTCATCCTGAACACACAAGAGGGCTACGAAGTTCAGCGGCTGTCGCGGCCCATTCTAGAAGTGCACCCAGAGGTGTCTATGATACCGGGAGACAGACTGTGTTCCCATAAGTGCTTGCAAGCTACAGCTCCCCGGGATGTCTGGAAGCAATGGGTGGACACCCAAAAGAGTTCTGAGTAGCTCGAGTTTCTGGCTAGAGAGATACGTTTGCTAGAGATTTTTTTTGCATAGTTCCTATCCTGTGATTAGCAATAAAACAATGCTTTTCTCTGCTGCTCTTGCTGAAACCAGTGTGTGGCATTGTTAAGTTTTATTACTATAAGGAGGCCAAAACCAATTTCACCTGGGACTTTCTTAGCCCAGAGGGTCTAACCCTTTGGCACCTGCTCCTCTGATCCAAGTTCATTATAAAATCTTACAGGACTGAAACGTAGCAAGGCATGGTTTTCTAGGATCGAGTTCTATACACGTGTTCCTTGAAAGGAAAACAGAGACTTTCTATCTACAGCCTGAGTTGGACTCACTCAAACATGAAGTGTCTGCTTCTCCTGGGAGGGACCTGTGCCCATTCTCAGAGGCTGGTGTGCCAGGAGCCAAAAGCACGCTTTAAGAGAAGCTGTGCATTCCAAGGTTGCCACCGAAGGTGTGCAGCAGGTGGAGGGAGTGCCAGGCGTGGCACAGTCCTGAGCAGGGTGCCCCCCCCGACGAGGTTGTATATGGGGAGGTGAGAGTTCCTCCTCCTGGGTGAGCATGCAAATGGGAAAGGAGACAGGTGAGAGGGATCTGGACAACAGCACAGGGGCTGGGCAGTAGGGAGGGGCTCCAGGGTGGGCAGAGGAGAACAGCAGTGTGTGTGCACATGCGTGTGCACACATGTGCCTGTTTTGGACAAGCAGGCACTAACAGGAACAGAGGAGGAAGATGGACAGTCAGCCTTGTCCAAGAGGCTTGGAGAGATACTCTCAGGTCAAGGGCATGGTCAGTGTGGAGGATAAGAAACCTCACCTAGGGCCCACTCCACGGGCCGTGCCTCCTCCCAGAAGGCTACAAACATTTACAGGGGAGTCTCAGAATCACATGACCATGTGATGGCCTGGCCCCATGTGTGTGGCTGCCTGGCCCCACAAGGAGTTAGTCTGGGGGAAGTAAGAAGGAGGAGTCCAGCGTTAGGCAGGTGCAGAGCCCAACCCACCCATCCTGCCAGGGCTGACCTATTTCCCGGGGCTCTCCTTGGGAGATGATAAAATGATATCGGCAATGGTCCTGAGCCTGTCCTCCAAAAACTCAAGCAAAAAAGCCTCAGCTGCTATTACTGCTCTGAGTGGCAGACGGCTTCTAATTTTTCAGTTTAATACACTGTGCACTATTTGGGGTATGCTTTGCCAACCATTTATTTTAGAGTGAAAACCCATGGGTTCAAATCATGAAGCTGTTGAGGAAATGGACATTCGTTGAATGAGGAGAACAAGAGGCCACAGGTTACAGGTCAGAAGCTACCGTGGCTCTCTCAGAGGTCACAGCAGCCGGGGAAAGTGCAGAACTGCAGTGAGCAGAGGCTTCTGGCTGGAAAACCGCCACCTCAAAGCCAAACCAGCCCCACATCCCGTGGCACGGCCAGCGTGATCAGGCACAGACACTGGCCCCCGGAGCGGGCCTGTGCACCTGTGAGCTGTGGCTCTCAGCTTTGTTTTTGAACGAGGTCAGCAAGCATGAGTCTAACTAAAGAATCCAACCACAGAAATCAAATCCGATATGTTAAATGTCCTGAGAATTTATTTTCCCTTCCGCAAACAAACCGTTTCTCCGCAGGAATAACCTAGAAGTGACCACGGAAGCAGCAACGTGCAAAGTGTTACAGAAGCCGCGTCAAGGTTGGCCGAGATTCGCCTCTGATGTTTCTGGAGGGAAATAGTCCCCAGTCACAATCCCGGCCCAGCCACATTAACCTTATGGGACTGAGAAGCATCAAGCTCTTCCTCCTTGGAGACCCTTGTCTATCACATGGCAATTTTAAAAAGAGTGCGGGCGACATCGCCCACACGGGCCTCACCTTGTCGAAAGCGGGATAGACAGCGCGGATCTCCGTCAGCCAGCCATACGGCATGTGTCCCACGGGGTATGTGGCTGTCAGAATTGCCACTGCCTGCAACAGGAGGAGCCAGCAGGGTTAGGAAGGCGGGCTTCACCTATTTTAATGAACACAACAGCAATGCCCAGGGTGCCAGGAACATGAGGCAAGTCCCCAGCTGCATGAAGAAACTGTGACGTGGCAGGACAGAACAGAGTGCTCCATTAGGTGGCCCTGAGTCCGAAGCACACCTCATCATGAAGCAGGTGTGTGTGTGAAGCACAGGTCCTCCAGCGTGACCACGAGGGGCACGTGAATGCCCAGCCCCTAAGTCGACAGTCAGCAGAGGTCAGCTCTGCACCCCAGTGCTGTCCCGCTATGCCACAGAGTGCAATTCTGAAGAAGCCTTTCATATCATCTGTCCTCATTTTTTAAAAATGCGAGTTGGAATTCTCGCCCGGGTCACGGGGTCTCATACTGCTGCCTGGGGGACTTCATTCAAGGGAAGAAGCTGCTGGGCCTTAGAAGCCACCCAAGATGACTCCTGACTCAAAACCCCAAATCCAGGCACGCGCCGAGGCGAGGGGTTTGTGGGCTTCTCCTTTGCAGCCTGCAGGGCAAGGACTCTGGCAGGCAGGGCCTGGCAGCTATCTGACAGCCCAGTCAAGGCTCTAGGCTGCCCCTCTGCAAGAGCAGCACTAACAGGAGGCCCTAGTGAGCGGCCCCCAGCCTTCCAGTTCCAGGGCTGGAATGAATTCTCCAGCGGGCACTGGGATAGGAAACAAAGGAAGTCACCGGATTTGTTCATGCTCAACTCCAAGGAGGGAAAAGGTGAGTCAACTCCTTTGGAGGAGCTGGCCGCTCCCAGATCCATGTCTTGGGGTGTGAGTACTGGAGCAGGGACAGTGGTGCTGAGGTGGGTGGGACATGCAGGAGGCTGGCGATGAACCGGAGAGGGAAGGCTGGGCCAAAACAGAGGCACCAGCCTGAGCCCTGGGGGCCTGTCACCTCTGCGACCGCGAGGCCCGGGCCGTCACCCCCTGCAACTACAGGGACAGGGTCACAAGCTGACTCCCTGGAAACGGAAGGGACTCAAGAAACCTGGGGTCCCGCTCCAGCCCAGCTTCCAGCTAGTTCTGTGTCTTTACCCTTCTTTTCTGTCTGTTCTTCATATGATAAATGAGAGGTAGGAGTTAGAGGTTTCCTTCCATCATCACAAAAAGATAAAATACCATGATTCGAGGCCTCCGAGCGATCCCAATGGCTTGCTAGTGTGACTATGTCAGAGAATTTAATGTCTCAGGATCACCTGAGCTGGCGAGATGACCTGGGAATTAACTTGACCCACGCTTCCCGGCTAAGATGATCCAAAGAGTGCAAGTCCGTACCTCCGTAGCTGCAGAACTGCCTCCAAGGTCACGCGAGACAAAGAGGTTGACAATAGGCCTGCTGATCCTCTGTGTGGCCAGAATCAGAGCCAAAGGCCACCAGAAGCTTAGCATCTTCCTTATTGTTGCATCTCCCTGCATTGAGGAAGGGAGACAGAAGTTTATGAAACTGTAGAAGTCGCACGGGAAACACGGTGCAGAACCAACGCTCTGCCTCTGTATGTCAATCATGAGTCAATGCACTATACTTAGAAGTCTGCAGAAGAGCCAGGTGGAATTAAAATGAAACATACAATCTTATTAGAAATCAACTCAGACAGTTGGCAAACTACAGGGCAATCAGCACACACGTGGGAGCTTGATGGATCCCACCAGGATCTTCCATACAGGAAATTGCCAACCAAGGTAGAGCCCTGTGCCATGGCCCGAGGAGCCCGTCTGAAGCTGGCCTTTGTTTACATCATCAAACGGACTGGCCAGAAGCCAGGTCAGTAGGAGGTAACTCTTAGAAATAAAAAACCAGTATGATTTATTTTGGAGTCAGTCAGCTCACATAAATGTACCTAATTATTTAAGCATCGTATAAGGTTCTTTAAAAGCTCTTACGGACGCCACATCAATTGTTCAGAAGCCTATGGGACATTAAGCACAGGGAAGAAAGAAAAGCAGTTCCTTAAGGTTCTGCAGCCAAGGTGGGCGACGTCTTCCCAGGTTGGCGCTCCCTGGCAATTGTGGTTTTGATACCAAGAGTTAACAAAGACGGTAGGAGTTAAGTCATGGGACTGTCTCAGCCACTACCACCTGTTCCCCTTTGCTGTGGCTGAGTGTTAAGAGATAGGTGATTATCGTCAAGACGGCTTTAACGAGGTTGGCCTAGTGGTGGAAATAACTAGATAGGCTTTCACTGGTGGGCTGACCACACACGGAGTTACATAAGGGGTCGATGCCTGAACAGAGTGCCTGGTCATGTGGGCAAGGGCGTGCACCTTGTTCATCTCTTCCTCGACACTCAAGGCACAGGCCAGACTCCGCTCCTCAGAACACACGACGGCGGTCCTCCCCCCAGTTCACGGCTGTTCGGGATTTACGTCTGACTGCTGCTTCTGTATTGCCCTTCAATGGGACGCAAAGCGGCTCAAGGGCAGAGGTCAGGCCTTACCCTCTTCCACACTGCCCTGTGGCCCCTGATGCCCTGCTTGGTGCCCAGCAAGAACCTGAATCAGAGACTCTGACTGGACAGTGAAAACAGCAGAAAGCCTGGATCCAGCTGTGAAATTAACAGTAAGGAGACGTGAACTCCAAGACACCATGGCTGCTGACACTGCAGATGTCGCAGCCCCTCCTCAGCCCGACACAGCGCCCTCGGCTTCCTCTAAGTCACTCCCATCTCTGGCTGTCTTTCCCCATGGACGCCACGCAGCGCCTGGCCTCTGCGGATGACACCATGGGCTCTTATCTCGAGGTGGAATACAACCCCACCCCACATGGAGACCCAGCCTGCGGTCGAGCTGGTAAGGACGTACGTACCCCGAGCTCTGGGCCGCTCCTGTCAGGGATGATGTCGTGGATGTTCCTGTAGTAGCCCAGGCACAGCGTGGTGCAGCGCACGAGTGCGCCCATGTACAGGGAGAGGATCGGGATGAGCAGCGGCTCCCGGCACTCCAGGTGACTGTGAAGCAAAATGGCTACAAAAACAACCTGAGAGACGGGAAAACGGAGCGGGTCAGAGGGGAGGAGAGCAAACCGGCCACCCGACATGGCTGAGCCTTGACCTTGACTTTGCAGGGAGAACCGGAACGTGGGCTGAGGCTCAGTGATGCTGTCCTGTGACTCACGGGCAGGGGTGTGGGCTTCACTGGAAGGAAGGACGCCCTGGTCACTCTGGTGTGCCCACCGTGCCGAGAGTCTCTTACAGCACCGCCTAGCTGGTGAAACTACTGCCTAAGACTTACCTAGCGACTCTGGACTCCCAGCCCTTCCTCCCATTTCCCTCCTTAGGCTGGATCCTGGGTGCACATGCAAGCCACACGCGAGGGCCTCATGTATGTCCCACCACCTCACCGTGGCCAACTGACGAGGGGATAAGGGAAAATGAACATAGCATTTATAGCACAGAATCACTGAAGATGCAAGGAAACAGGCACTCACAGCGATGGTTACAAATCAACCTAAACTGAAAGTTTAAAATACTAACTTATAAAAGCAGAATAGGTTGAAATAATCAAAGTTGGGAGAGACTGGAATCATAACGACGTGTTCACCTCTATTGAGTGCTACGCTTTCACAAAAGTTTAAAACCACATCAACCTGCCCTGTTCTGCAGGGCCTTGGTCCAGGGCCTGCCCACACCCCCTGATCCAAGAGACCCTGGAAGCAAGGTATAACCAGGGGGTGGGGACGGGGGAAGGCGGTAATCTGGAGCAATAGCAACCTTAATGACCAAGCAGCCATGGAGAAGCAGGTGTGTGGAAGATGCCGCTGAGTGCTGCTGGGCAACAGGTTATCCTGGGCAGTGCAGAGACCCGACCTGGCCGTCGTGGGGTCTCAGCTGACCTCAGGAGCCAAGGGCAGATGACAGCACAGAGGCCAGAGGAAGGAGGTCAGGAGAATGCTCACCGGGATACCCAGCAAGCCAAGAAAGTCCAGATGCGCACGAGATACAACAGGAACACTCCCTGGTAATCCAACGGACTGGAGAGGCAGCCATTACAGTCACGGTGGGACAAGAAGCTTTGCGTGTCTGAACCACACCTAAAGATTTTGTGCTTCTGTGTCTGAGATCGAATGGCTTAGGGGGAAAAAAGCAGAGCTGCTACTGAAATCTGCAGCATCATAACCAATTTTCATTTTATCATTGGTGACTACTCGCTTTTTGTGCCAGGGTGGAATCTCGCGGCACCCTGCCTAGGATCTGTCTACCCATCGCCAAAAAAGGTGGCTGACAAACGCTTTTAGGCCAGGAGCGGAATGAAGCATGAGGGAGGTAAGAGACTTAAGAATAAAAATACAACTTATTCTCCCAACCAAGCTGTGGCAGGAACTCCAACAACAAGGTCTGAAATAACCACTGCACCAGGAACTGCCTGAGGCCAGATGGTATCTGAACCCGTCCGTCCTGCCTCTTCCCACTGACCACATCTGTTTACTCCAAACTCGAGGCCCTCTTTCTGCAGACAAGGCCCCGGATCAGGTTTAGAACAGAGAAGGAAAACGACTGTGGGCGGACCGGCAGAGAATTTCTCAGGAACACAGCTTTATCTTCTTGTCCTTAGATGCATACTGTATTTATCTTAGGCAAAGGTGAGGATTTTTTAAATTTAGTTTTCCCTTTGTCAGTACCAATGCTTGACACAAGAGGGGCTTCCTTAATTTCAAATTAAGTGATCAAAATGAATAAGGCAATTCAGTTCACCTCTCAGAGAGAGTGAAAGTAAGACCAGGAGAAAACTCTAATAATGGTACAAGAAAACAAACCAGCATCAAAGGATTGTTAGTATTCAGGCATTCACACAGGAATTAATTCAAATTATTCCTAACGGTGATCCATGGAGTAAATGTCATTTATCTGGAGATTTAAAAAAATATTTTAACATTATTTTCTTTGTTATTTTAAAGGCAGAAAGAGAGGGAGAGAAAGAGATGTATCTTCTACTGGTTCACTCTCAGATGCCCTTGACAGCAAGGGCTGGCCCAGGCTAAAGCATGGGGCCTGGGACTCAAAACAGGTTTCCTGTGTAGGTGCAGGGACCCAAGTGCTTGCGCCATGACCTGCTGCCCCCGAGGGCACATGGTGGCAGGGTCTGGAATCTGGAGCACAGCATGGACTAGAACCCAGGTACTCCCGTAAGGGAAGTGGGTTTCCCCAGTACCGTGTTAACTGCTGCACCAAATGCCTGCCCCAGAGAGGTAATTCTGGTCATTAGGGAAGCACTCACAACTCAACAGATTATTTTAGGAAAGGAGCCTTTTTAAAAGCCTAGCAGGGGCCGGCTCCGCGGCTCAATAGGCTAATCCTCCGCCTGTGACACTGGCACACCGGGTTCTAGTCCCGGTCGGGGCGCCAGGTTCTGTCCCGGTTGCCCCTCTTCCAGGCCAGCTCTCTGCTGTGGCCTGGAAGGCAGTGGAGGATGGCCCAAGTGCTTGGGCCCTGCACCCCATGGAGACCAGGATAAGCACCTGGCTTCTGGCTTCGGATCAGCGCGCTGCGGCCATTGGAGGGTGAACCAACGGCAAAGGAAGACCTTTCTCTCTGTCTCTCTCTCTCGCTGTCCACTCTGCCTGTCAAAAAGAAAAAAAAAAAGCCTAGGGGGGCCGGCACTGTGGCATACTAGGTTAAACATCTGCCTATGGCACCAGCATCCTGTATGGGCGCCAGTCTGAGTCCCGGCTGCTCCACTTCTGATCCAGCTCTCTGCTATGGCCTGGGAAAGCAGTGGAAGATGGCCCAAGTCCTTGGGCCCCTGCATCTGTGTGGGAGACTCAGAGGAAGCTCCTGGCTGTGGCTTTGGATCGGCACAACTCCAGCCATTGCAGCCATTTGGGGAGTGAACCAGTGGATGGAAGACCTCTCTCTCTCTCTCTCTCTCTCTCTGTCTCTGTCTCTCTCTCTCTCTCTGCCTCTCTGTAACTCTTTCAAACAAAAATAAATAAAAATCTTTAAAAATGTTTTTAACAAGGCTAGGGTGTACACCAAGGGGGAAATGTGTAGAAATGTTCACAGAACAGAACTGAGAATTTGGAAGGAAGTGCAAAGATCGCTAAACTCCTCCTCCAAGTAGACATTTTCTTGAATTTCTGATTGCAGGAACTCAGCCTGATTTATAAATTACAGGGTGTGTTTCATGTGGTTTCCTTGCTGGAGGAAGAAGGGAGGAATGGAAAGCGGAGGCTGGGGCTGGACCTCAGCAAACTGAACCCACAGAGGGGGATGTTGGCCTTCCACTCAGACAGTGGGAAGACAAGTGAACCGGTCTCCAGGGTCATTTCCAGTGTGGGAATCGACCCGGGTGGGAGCTGCCTAAGAAGCCACATCAACAAGGACTGCTGTGAGTGCCCTCCAGGACTGTCTCTATGCGCGTCTCCGGAAGCCAGGGGCAGAGTGCGTGCACACAGAGGGTGCTCAGCCAGTGCATAGTGACCCTGTGACAGCCCGAGAACGTCCCAGGTGTGGTCATTCACAGGCACGCTCTTTAAACAGAAACCCCAGACACTAAACTCAAACCCACACAACCCTCAGCCTGGAAGCGGGACGCAGACTTCGACTGCAGGCAGTTGCTTCCTCTTCTCATCCATTTAGCAAACATTTGCTGAAGGCAGTATTCTGTGCAACAGCGCTGCTATAGGTGGGTCACACGCAGAGGGCGCCGCACCATGGGTGAACGTGAATGGGGTATGGGGCAGGGGGCAGGGAGGGTCATGCACCTGACTGCCCAGCTCCAAGTGGCACGCAGGTTGACTTACCTGAGCTATGACGTCAGAGATTGAGGCACACCCCACCAGGAAGCTGTATTTGTGTTTGAGGAGAATGCCAGCATGAGTCCACGCCTGCCAGAGAGAAAGGACCGGCATGAGACACGCTCAGGGAAGACAGGGAAGACACTGTTTCCCTGCACTATGGTTTACGTGCCATCCCTGGGACATGCTTTGTACCACCACAGCCTTAGAGCACAGGTTGTCTTTGGTTGGCAGGGTGACCCTAACAGGTGACTAGGTACAGGCTGGACATGTAAGTGGAATGTATGACTGCATTTCCTTATTTAGTGCCAGTTACATGCAGACGAGTGTACTTGCTAGACTTGTGTGCCTGGAAGGAGGGTGGGGCGGACACCAGGCGACAGCCTCCCTCTCTTGGAGCTGTGGGGATGGCTAGAACCTGCCACGAAGGTGAAACCAGGGTTCCGGCTGGTTCTCAGTGGCTGTGTCACTGCAGGGTCGCATGGGCCAATTACAGCACTGCCATTTCTTGCCAGCACATTGGGGCAGGATCCTTTCTGATGCTCTGAGTCAGTGAGGGGAATTGAGAGCAACGTCCTCTTATGGGAGCTGAAGATGAGAGCCCAGGGGCGGAAGGTTTGGAGAAGGTTTGACGATGGTCATTGTCCTGCTTATCGCTAAGGCCGACTGGGGCTGACACAGACGTCACATTTCATCCGAGCTCAATGCAACCAGACAAGTAGGGTCTGTTCCGCGGGTCAGTGTCAAGACTGTACAGCAGCTGCCTCGGCAGCTCGTGGGTCCCAAACGTTGAGAAATGCAGTGTGATGACATTTGTAGACAGCACCTTATGGTTGTGGCCATTCTGATGGGAGCCTTATGGTTTCTAATACTACATGTGTGTGCAGGTGGGAGTGGGAGAGATGATTTGTTCTTTATAAATGCTCCTTATTTTGGTTTTCATTGGGATCTTTGAGGGGGGTAATTTACAAGAAAGACATAGAAGAAAAGGGTACCAGCTTGAATAACCCCTATCCAAAATACCTGGGGCCAGAAATGTTTGGGATTTAAGACTTTGCGAGGTTTTGGAATATTTGCATGTGCATAATGACATATCCTGGGGTTGGGACCCAAGCCTAGTCACAGAGCTCATTTCTGTTTCACACATACCTTGCACACACATCACGAAAAGTAACTTCATATGGTATTGGATATAAGTTTGTGCATGAAACAAAGTTTCACATATGGGGTCCGGCGTGGAATGATGGTGGCACTCAAAACATTTGGGATTTGGGATTTTCAGATGAGGGATGCTCAGCTCATACCGAGTCCCAGAAACCCTCTTGTGGCAGACAAATACCTCTGCAGCGAGGTGGGGAATGGGGTACCCGGAATCCCTGCTGCGCACTGACTCACAGCCCCGAGTTCTCAGAACTCACTGTGTGGTTGTGATTCCTCCCTGTGTTTGGATTTCCACTCCCGAAACAGAGGATGGGACAGACATCAGGGCAGTGTCGAGGGCTCTGTCTAGGAAGTTGGGCCTTGATGCTTTTACATTCAGTTTTCTAATGAGCCCATTTAGAAACCCTGTAGGCTGGGATCAGTGTGGGCCTGTGGGAGGCTGTCTGTGTAGACCTCAAGCCCCTTGCCTTCTTCATGTTCCCGAGTGAACTGCACCTGCTCTCAGAGCGAGCACACCAGGCAGCCAGTAAGAAAAGGACACCCAGGGGTTCAGGTGGCCCATGTTAACGGAGGCATCCCAGCACTCAAGAGCCAGAACCTTTCTGACACAAGAGTTCAATATTTAAGGCAACAGGGCAGACCGGCAGGAAGTGGTCAGAGGCTCAGAGAGGCTGTGCCTAAAATCCAACACAAAGCAGACTCCTGAGAGGGAGCAGAAGATGGGCTGTGTATACGCTGACCTCGCTCCACTTCTCCAGGGGTTTGGGCCTGGGGTCTCACCTCAGCCACGGAGGTCCACTTACCTCATATGTCTAAGGTCTCTAAAACCTAGACAGTAAAAAACTAGGTGGACGAATGGATTTCAAAGTCCCCTTCCTAGGACTTCAAATAGGGTTTGATTTTTTATAGGTTTATTCAAGCCAATAGGTTTGAATTTTAAATAAACCCTTCAAGAAAGGGTTTATCTTCCAGCGTTTGACATTACTGGAAATCTGTCTCCCTGCCAAGATCTCTTTTATAGCCATAGCACAGATGAAAAGACAGAAACAAAAACAAAAACAAAAGAAACAAAAACAACCAAAAAACCCCAAAGAACATTCTACTTCCAGGACAAGTGAGCTACTTTAGTAAAGCTGGTTATTAAACTGAGGACATCCAAGAAAGACATAGATTAGTATGATCAAGAGATTTTTGCTGTAAAATTCTGGGTGCTTCTATCACGTAAGTGGTAAGTCTGTTAGAAAGCTATTCTTGAGGCTAGTATTTGGCAGAGTGGTTAAGTTGCTGTTTGGGACTCCTGCATCACACATCAGAGTCCTGGCTGCTCCTCTTCCAAGCCAGATTTCTGCTAATGTGACCCTTGGAGGCAGCAGGTGATGGCTCAAATAGTTGGGCTCCTGCTACCTAGATGGGAGACTTGGATTGAGTTCTAGGCTCCTGGTCCACCTGAGGCTGTTATAGGCATTTGGGCAATGAACCACCAGATGCAAGCTTTCACTCTCTCTCTGTCTCAAATAAAATGAATTTCAAAAATAAATAAAAGTCAACTAGAACCTTCTACAGTGTTGGTGGGGATATAAAATGGTATAGCTGTTATGAAAATCAAGTACAGGGGCTGGTGCTGTGGCATAGCAGGTAAAGCTGCCACCTGCTGTGCTGGCATCCCATATGGGCGCTGGTTTAAGTCCCGGCTGCTCCACTTCTGATCCAGCTCTCTCCTATGGCCTGGGAAAGCAGTGGAAGATGGCCCAAGTCCTTGGGTCCCTGTACCCACGTGGGAGACCCAGAAGAAGCTCCTGGCTCCTGGCTTTGGATTGGAGCAACTTTGGCTGTTGTGGCCATCTGGGGAGTGAACCAGCAGATGGAAGACTTCTCTTTCTCTCTCTGCCTCTGCCTCTCTGTAACTCTGCCTTTCAAATAAATAAATAAATAAATCTTTTTTTTTTAGAAAAAGCAGTTATGATGGTTGATGGTTCTTCAACAAATTAAAAACAGAAATATCAACTGGCCTATGAAATTCATTTCTGGATATATATATATATATATATCCAAAGGAACTTAAGTAGGGTATTAAAGATATTTCTACACTCATGTCCACAGCAGAATAACAGTGTTAGAGACAAGAACCAAAATGTAGAAGCAATACAAATAAACAGAAAACCAAAACGTGGTATAAAATGGAATACTACTCAGTCTTCAAAAGGAGGGTAATCCTGACACCTGCCACAACCGGCATGAACTTTGAGGACACTAGGTTGTCGTGTCGAATAAACCAGTCACATGGTGCATGAGTTCACTTCTGTGTGGCATCTAAAGGGGTCCAATTCAGAGACCTAAAGCAGAATGGTTGCTTCCAGAGCTGGGGAGGGGTACATGGGAAGTTCCTGGTTAATGGGAACAGAATTTCAGTTTTGCAAGAGAAACAGAGCTCTGAAGATCAGCCGCACATGCACAGGACTGGAACAGCAGATCGTGTGCGTGTACTGGACCACCGTTGGAAAGGAAGCCGGTGTCCCTCTACTTACCATGGCATCCATGAAAGGGAAGGCCGCGAGGTACAGGAAGGCCCTTCTCGTTTTGCTCCCCACGGACTCGTCCACATGGTGCAGTTTGTTGATGATGTAGTAGCCGAGGTCGCTGTAAGCTATGAGGGTCAAACACATGCAGCGCAGTTTTTAGAAAAAGAAATCTCGGCATTTTTTTTATCTCCAAAATTTAAAGCCAATTAAAAATGTCATATTTTCTTCTTGTATAAAAAAGTCTGAAAATTTAGATAAGCAAATAATGGAAAAGCACATACAATCTTACCCCTTTCCCTAGAGAAAATCTTGGTTCCAGTAGCCCAGTCACTTTATGCAAGTATTTTCACATGGAAATGAGATTATTTTACATAAGAGATCTTCAAAGAGTTCATGGAGAATTCATATTATGAAAAAGCTACATGGATTTTTGCACCAAAATAAACTGGTCATTCATTTCTCCACAAATTTTTGAAATACCCTTGTATTTAAATATCTTGCCAAGATGTGTTTCTGCAGTGTAATTCATCTTACTCCCTTTAGTGAGCTGAATTCCTTTTTGCAGGTTCCCTTAGTATCGACTTACTCAGTCGCTTGGGTTGCACATTTGGGTGGCTTCTATCATTTTGAAAAAAGAAAAGAATGCACGGTGGGTGGGCCTAAAGCCAAAGATATACACATGTTCTGTAGTGTTTACTAAAAGAAGATTCCATGATGCTAAATATGCCTTTTCAGTAAAACCGAGGGTACCTTTTCACACTTGCTAGTCCTTTTCATTTTTGGGGAGGAGGATGGTAACTCTGGGTATAGTCCTGAGTGCCAGAAAATGACATCAAGGCAATGTTTTTGTTTTTTTTTTTAATATCTAATTTATTTATTTGAAAGGCAGAGTTAAAGAGAGAGAAAGCTTCCATCTGCTCGTTCACTCTCCAGTGAGCCACTGCCTGGCTGGGCGCCTGGAGCTCCATCTGGATCTCCCACATGGTGGAAGGGGTCCAAGTACTTGGGCCAAGTTCCACTGCTTTCCCAGGTGCATTAGCAGGGAGCTGTTTGGGAAGTGGAGCAGTCAGGACCCGAGCTGGTGCTCATATGGGATACTGGTGTCACAAGTGGTGGTTTAACCCACTCACTGCATCACAAGGCCAGCCCCCAGGCCATGCTTTTGAAGTCAGAATTCGTTCCCAACCTGATTGGAACATAGTCAGTCAGTACAGGTTGTGCAACTGGGTGCGACATGCTAGATAGATGCGAGAGAGGAAAAAGATCTTCCTGATAGTTCAGGCAAAATGCGAATTGTTACAAAACCACGCAGAGATTTCAAACATTTTCTTTTGCACCAAAATAAACTTGATGTTTTACTTCCATTTTCCATGAAATTTTTGAAGTGCCCTTGTACAAGATAGGCATTCTGACAAATACTAGCAAAGATTAGACAAAAACATTGAGCTATTTTTACCTCCCTGACATAGGTTTATATTAGAAATGAAAATAATCGTCTTTGTGTTTGCACGAAGTCTAACAGCACATGTCCCTGTGCCTCTCGTTTTCTTATATCTATGGCCAACGACAGAGGATGCTGAGGAGTCAGAATGGAGCTAGAGCAGAGACAGCTTTGCTTCGTGGGCTACTAAAGACCCCTCCCATTTCAAAGTGTGAAGGGCAACTCGTGACTGCATTGACTGGCAGAAACAAAGAATCCTGCAGCCAAGATCAGGCCGAGTCCTGCCTTACGATACTGCTGGACAAGCGGAGTCTTGCGCTGAAGTTCAGGACAATGAGTGCACAAACGGGACTCCAGGAGGGGCAGAGGTTCAGGTAAGTGACTTCCAGGAGTAGGCACCTGGGATGGTTCTGACTTAGAGAGCAGGGGGCAGGAAGGAAGCTCCAGGTCCCCCCAGCCAAGGGGCAGAGGTGGAAAAGTAAAAGGGTTGATGCAAAGGTGAGCAAAGGCCGGCACAGGTGCCAGGTGTGAGGAGAGTGGGGGGCATCAGAGCCCCCGAGGAAGAAGAGGGCCTGACCTGGCAGAGAGAGAAGGGATGTTGGGGGATGGGACGGGTTAGGTGCAGGCCATGAAGGCAGGAGGCTCAGAAGCCTTGCAAAGCGGATTAGAGGCATCTCTACTTGACCTGGGAAAGATGGGCGGGGAAAGTGCCAGCCGGGTTAGCAGCAAAGACATGCACTGGCACATACCTAAGCCGACAGGGATGTCAATCACACACACGGCCTCCCTGGGGAGCCAAGCCGTGGCCACTCTGTCTCGGGGTTTATCCTTGTGCTGTTTATCTGCACACTTGCTTCAGTCGGTCACCAGATGCTCACTGTGCAGGGACCTTCAAGGACTATCTTGGCCTCCCCACACCAAGGTGCCCCTGGGCAAAGGCCACTGGCCATGGGAAAGGCAGCCAGGCTGGGCGAACAGAGCGACACAAGTGCAGAAGCGTGGGGCTGGCTATGAATAGCGCAGGAGCTGGAACATCCCGAGAAAGGTTACATTCCTTGCAGAATGCCAGCTGAGTGGCCTCGACAGCAGTGGCCAGAGACCACAGAACTGCGGAAAGGCTGGGGCGCTGAACGGCAGTGCTGGGGGCTCAATGATGTCCCCTCAAGATGCAGATGTTGATGTCCTGGTCCCCTGTGCCCTACGAGGGGACCTTACTCCAGCACCAGGGTCACTGCAGACATCATTAGATAAGGTGAGGTCCAGTGGAGCAGGTGGCTCCAACCCCACATGACTGGGGTCCTTAGATAAAGGGGGACTCCAGGTACAGAGACACAGGTGCACAGGGAGACGCTGTGGGAAGAGGGCAGAGAGCATGGTGATGGCTCTCCAAGCTAGGGAGCACCGAAGATGGCTGCAAAGCCCCAGACATGAGGGGAGAGGCCTGGGACAGCCCCTCCCTCACAGCCTCTGAAGAAACAGCCTGCTGACACCCTGATCCCCGCCTTGTGGCCTCCAGCACTGATGTGACACACTTTGTTGTGCAAGACGCCCAGGCCGTGGTAGTCGTGCTACTTATTACTTCTCAGCCAACGCCTGGGCCAGGAGCTCCTCCTGCCCAGGACACCGCGGCCGTCTCAGCTTGCGGAGTGCACTCGGTGATGTTTACACAATCACGCATTCACCTGCTGCCGACACATCTGGAAGGTGCCCACTGCTGCGTGGTCCTGGCTGCACTGTATCAGGCAGCCCCAGGGAACAGACACAGCTGGCTTCTGAGACAGGGAGAAGGAATCAGCCCCCTGTTGGAGTCTGGGCTGGTGGTGAGAGGTGACCGGACGTGTGCATTTGGGCGGTGGCAGCAGGGCATGCGGTTAGCACCTGTTGCCCAGGAATCCAGGAACCAGTAGGATTTGGCTGCCCTCTGCCCTGTAACTTCACCTGCTGAATAGGAGATTCTAACCAGAGCACCAAAAATGGGGCTTCTACATAAACCCTTGTAGTCCTCGGGGGTCTGCAGCACTGCAGGGGGCTCTCACTTTCCCCTGACAGTGTGGGGACAGGGGTGACTCTTTCTTGCTGTTCACAGCATGTGGGGCAGGCTCGGCTGTTCTCTGGGTTCAAGGCTGCTTTTGCTTATTTTTTATAATTTATTTTTAATTTAAATTTTTCTATTGGCTTTATAATAACTATGTATTTAGGGGGCGCTAGGTGATGCTTTGGGAATAATGCTACAGTTAGGAGAAATAAGGTTTGAGTTCTCTTGCACAATAGGGGGACACCAGTTAACAAGAATGCATTGTGCTTTTCACCAGAGCTGGAAAGGGGATTTGGAGTGTTATCACCACGAAGAAACGATCAATGTTAAGGAGACAGATTTGCTTCTTTGTACTTCTATTCATTTTAGTCTCTGTCAGCTACTACAGCAAAGATTTGCAAGCCAAGGAGAGGAACACTTGCTCCCTGATTTTCTTAACTCCTGCCCTACCTGGCAGAGGAGTCAGATTGTCAGCTGCCAAGGTTGTTTTCACCGTAGGATCTGTGCAGTAAAATTCCCAGCCACTGTTCTTGTCCAGCCTCTCCTGCCCCCAGCTCCCTCCTCCCATGGCCTGGAGCTATTTCCAGCCAGAGCTGTTGACTGGGGGCAATTTGTTTGAAGCATGTTGCAGGCAGTGGGTAATTACCAGGCTAGCTGCCTTGGCAACATTTAGTAACCTTGAACTTGTAGAGGCTGCCTTGGTAAGCCTGTCCTGACACTGTGTGTCTTCCTCAAGAAGAGCAGAACACTGTCACCCAGAATTTAACAAGTCTACCAACAGACGTAACACAAACAGACAGACTTCATGACAGCCGGACAGCACGAGGACGTGGACGTGGCCCATGCACAGGTACACAGCTGTGATCTCGCCCAAACAACGAGCAGCTGCCAAAGCCAGCCAGGCTGACGGGCCTCTCCTGCGGCCAGTGGCTCTCAAACCTGTTCATGCAGTTGTTACTCATGCTTGCTGCAAACCAGGAAAGACAAGTGCTAATCACCACAGGTCTCCACCCAGGTAGCTTCCCACCAGAGCAAGGGCCTCCTCCACCCAGCTCAGGAACAGCACACATATTCCTAGGAGGCAAATTCTGGAACCTTCACCCTAATTCACACTCCTCAACATTCAGATGTCCCACAGATACTATTCATTAACCCACTGGGTCCTGTTTGCAAGGCTTTTCTGGGGCGGGTCATCTCATCCCCTGTGTTCCTAATGTATTATCTCAAGTGTGCGTGCGCGTGCGTGTGTGTGTGTATATGCGCTAGACAGGCCACACTTAAATAACAGCAACAGATACATGCTAAGTGTGTTGCAGGTATGAGGCACTGGGCCAGCGAGCACAGCTGTGGAGGGGATGGCTTCCTGTGTGACAGCTGCGACACCAGTGCAGGATACAGCACTGTCTGCAAAGTATGCGCTTAGGCAGTGCAGGCATTGCTGAGGCCTGAGAGAGGGGTCCCGCGCCTGCGTGTAACATGAGTGACGGAAATGGGAGGTCGTAGTGCAGAGCAGAAGTTGCGCCTGGTGCTAAGGCATGGGACTGCTTCTCTAGCGAACGCATCTTGGTCATGGCTCCATTTCAGGATCTAGCCCCGTGTTTACCACGTGCAGGTTGAGCATCCCTACTCTGAAAACTCAAAATCTGAAA